TCCTAAAATGGCTGCCATATACACGTCCACTGATAAATGATGCTTAAGATTAGAAGCGGCTGAAAAGCATTTCTCACACTCCGAACAAAAATATATTTTTTTAACATTCTCTCCACTTTGAACGAAATGACGTTTGGGAAGAGATTAATATAATTAAACACAGGCAGTAAAAATACAGTTTTTAGCCATACCTGTAACTTTAAAACTACACATCCCATCTTCATAATTACATATTTGGAATCAGCACACTTAAAACATAAACATAACCAAAAATCAGCCAAATCCATCCAGGGGTTAAAAAGTTAGCTGGAGGTCCCTTTATGACCGACGGCAAGCACATTTTCCTGCCCAAAACAGTTCCATAGATTTGGGCTGTAGAGATCGGTCTATTTCAGGCTGAAAAAACTAGAATCCCATCGCCGAATGGGACTTAGTCTCTACAGCTGCTGAAATAAGGCTGAAAAAAACGGCTGAAAAAAAGACTAAGTCCCATCGCCGAATGGGACTTAGTCTCTGCAGCTGAAATAATTTCCCATTTACTGAACCAAGTGGGAAATAGCAAGGCAGGCACAAAGGGTTTGCACCAGGTCTGGGGACACAGGGGACACCGTCTTAAAGGGGCCGTGTCCCCAACAAGTCTGGGGACACGGCCTTAAAGGGGCAGTGTCCCAATCTTCCTGATGTCCCAAAAAAGGTGTTTAAGGGCCAGCACCAGTCACATAAAGAGTCCATAAGCCCCAATATGCCCACCGACAGTCTTAAAGGGCCATACACACCAAATAAAAGTGCATACATTTTCACAATCTCCCAGGGGCCATAGTCATGCGGGAGGAGGCTGGCAAGTAGGCTTCTCCACAACCCAGGGAAGCAGGGCAATTTGCCATTTAAAGGGCCCGTTACAAATAGCAGTTTGTAACAAGGTGTCAATCCATATCTGCCAAGTGACCCGATGTAGGGGGAACAGTCCCTATTCTGCTCTGTGTCAGTGTGTATCAGGGATCCTTAGGACAGGTGTCAATCCATATCTGCCAAGTGACCCGATGTTGGGGGAACAGTCCCTATTCTGCTCTGTGTCAGTGTGTATCAGGGATCCTTAGGACAGGTGTCAATCCATATCTGCCAAGTGACCCTATGTAGGGGGACCAGTCTCTATTCTGCTCTGTGTCCGTGTGCATCAGGGGCTCTGAGGACAGGTGTCAATCCATATGTCAAGGTGTCAATATGTCATATGTCAGGTGTCAATCCATATTGATTGTGATTTAGGAATGTTAGGTGATTTCTGCCCTTTATGGATTAAAACCAGACTCTGTATCAACTGTGTAATTTTCCATGGGAGTTTTGCCATGGATCCCCCTCCGGCATGCCACAGTCCAGGTGTTAGTCCCCTTGAAACAACTTTTCCATCCCTATTGTGGCCAGAAAGAGTCCCTGTGTGTTTTAAAATTCACCTCCCCATTGAAGTCAATGGCGTTTCGGGCGGTTCGCCGGTTCGCGAACATTTGCGGAAGTTCGCGTTCGCCGTTCGTGAACCGAAAATTTCGGGTTCGCGACATCACTAATAGAGATGTGTATGTGGGTGCTTGATCCCTGGCCAAGCTTATACATTAAGAGCATTATCCCTACCTATCATGTGTGTCTTGGGTTGCCATGGATGCCGTGTATGCAGATGTAGCGCGTCCGCCTCCCTTTGGGTGTAGGCAGCTTTGTATTCGCAAGGCCAGCCCATGTCCCCGATCAGAGCTACCAAGTGTATGGGGCTATGGTCAGGGTTGTCTAGTGTTCTTGAGGGTGGGTCAAGATAGTTCCTGTTCGGTGCCATGGGTTCAAGGGAAACAGGCGAGCCGCTAAAAGGTGGCTCGCTCATGTGGCGGGTGGGGTCAGCATGCACAGGAGTGGTGGTGAGCCTTTCCGTTCCATGGGGTGGTGGTCAGAGCTGCGTTAAACATGTTGCGCTGTGCATGCATGGCTGACGCTATTCAAGCGGTTTATCTTAGGTATGATTGTAGCGAGTCAGGTACAAGGCCGAAACTTGTATGGTTATGGTCATAGTTATACATGTATATAGTTATGCAATACCATGAGATCAAAAATACCCTTATGTTGGTGTTGTGTGGGGTCACGGTGGTAGAAGACTGGAGAGCATCCCCTCGGGGCACCGCAAACCCATGGGGTAGATGGGTCGGCAAGTATGTCACGGGGTTCCTTAGCAGACCTTTTTACCTATCCTTTGAGCTGTAGTGCGGTCAGTTTGCACCTACCAGTGATTCCCTATTCTTCCCTATCCCCCTCTGTCTATGTGCTTATTCCCTTCTGAATGCGAACTATCCCTCTCTCTGCATTCTCCTCCCGTCCCACCCACCATGTTTATGGTATGTCCTTTTCTCTGAGCGCGCTGGTGACATATTATATTTATTTATTCTATTTGATTGTTTCTTGCGGGGTCATACATTTAATTGTATTGTTCCCTATGCAGCGTGGAAAAGTGCCTAAAGTTCCTAAACTGTAAATAGGTTTCTTATGGAGTGTAGGATTATCCTGAGAAGCTTTTATTTTGGTGATTTGGGGCTTTTTTGGGTAGATGGAGCACTCTGGCTTCTTTTATTTAGTTTAGAATCATGTTGGGGTTTATGTAGCGGTCAGGTTTAAGGGGCTGGCGTAATATGGTTGTTTAGTCATTTTTTTCACAATCTACAGGAATCTTATCTGCAGGTTTAGTAAGTTTGTCAGGGTCATCCTACACTCCATAAGAAACCTATTTACTGTTTTAGGAATCTCTGAGCCATTTTCCACGCTGCATAGGGAACCTAAGTCAGTTAGCATTTTTTCAAAGTTTCATAGGGCTCCCTATTCGTAGGATACTATAAGGTACTAGCTTTTCAAATACCCCTAAAGACACCATGCTATACCACATATATATATAGACATATTTTAGGTAATTAAGTTTTTAGATTAGCGTACTGAGTGATTTATAGAACCACCTGCAATTGTTTTATGGTTGACACAGGGAGAGGTTGGGGAATTAACATATTGTTTTGTACTTGCAATGGGTAGGATCTGATGATCCACTTTTTATAATTTTGTCTTTCCCTGCTGACTACCTTCATACGTTATCCAGCTCATTCCAAAATGCTACTTTCTTGCCATCTTGTTAGAAGGGAATGTTACTTCAATATAACAAAAGTTGAACATTTTTTTTAATGTTCTTGATTTAATAAGTGTTATGGGCAAATGCAAATATTACAAGTTTTAGAATGAAATATTGTATTCCACAAACTGTGTACTTTGTCTTTAAGAGATATTGCAAACTGACAAGGTGTTAGAAATGGAACATTGTTTTTCATACATGTTTCTTTAAGCAATAACCTCTTACTTACCTTCAGTACATAATATGCTTACGCCATTTTGTCCCAGACGAAATACAATAACAATAATGCATAAACAAGCTTCAAGGATATGCTATGACTCTTTCAGTACATAATATACTGCGGTAACCCTAAGTAAATAAAGATGTTCAGACTTTAAGATGCCATCTTGAGCTAGGTCAGGAAAATTTCCATGATGTGTACACCCTTTAGTTATGTCCTTGTATTTTTGCCCAGTTAAGGGAGGTCCTAAAATGAATAAAAGTAAAAGAAGTTACTTTTTCATTATATGAACTACGGTAACCCTAAAATGAAGACACCTAAGGTATAAATAGGTATACTTTTAAATGTTAAGGCACAGAGAGAGGAGAGAATTCGAGACAGACGCGGCTCCATCTTAAATGAGAGGCTGACATGATAACATGTTCAGGAGGTTATGTTAACCTATTAATGATATTTGCAAGCATTTAGTTTAATCTTATAAACTCTGCTATAAATTATTGTAATGGATTTTTTTTTTCTTTGTTGTGCATAGTGATCGATACAGACAGGCTCTGGGTGCCCCAAAAGCAGTCCCTGAGCTAGTTTCAAGCTTAACAACAGGAGCATTAGGAAAAACGGCACATTTTCAAAGTATAATAGACATGTGTAGTATGACAGAGAACATGCTAGTAAGTAAATGATCAACGATAATAAAAAAATTTTTGTCAACAGTAGGGGGCTCAATAGCTAATTTGGCTGCTTGTTATGTAGACTGACAACGTGAGTAGTTAGGTTGATAGGGTAAAGGGAAGGTGTGAAAAAGCATAAAGTATAAGCAAATAATTACTAGACTTCCCTTTTAACCACGAGGATTAACATAAGTGTGATCAAGATTAGTGAAACCTGCTGGGTCAACTAATGAAACATATAAAGCTTTGTTGCCACTGGGTCCTATTGGGATAAGTTAAGCATAAAATGGTGCATATTACATATGAAAAGTTAATCTGTTGAGTATGGCAAATGGCGTCCACTATACTCAGATGGGGTACTGAGTGTGGGCCTACATACGGTGAGGATACGGTGACGATCAGCCGACTCCACTAGTCGGCAAGCTCTAGGTGTATACATAAAGTTTGCAAAGGCTACTTATCCCCTGCGCAGTCTTAATTGGAGGTCCAATCGGTGTATGGGTAGGGATGTGCGGGATCAAGACGACGGCTCCAGGCTTGGGTGAGAGCTTCTTCCAACCCCATGCTTGTTGAAGGGCCTGCTCTGTAGGGGGTTGAGATCTTTCCCCCTCCAGGAAAGGCATAGGCTCTGAGTGGTGTGGTCCGCCATTGGCGCTTAATCTTTTGTGCTTGTGGTTGCTTTAACGGGGCAGGGCCACGGGAGGCTTTTGGCCCACGGAGGTAGGGAGCCTTGTTGAAGGGCACTTGTGAGTCTGGGGCGCCTTGGTCGGGTCCCAGTTGCTTCGGCATTGGAGCCTGAGGAGTATTCTGCCGTGGTCGCATGCTGAGGCGGTGCCAGAACTCCTGACAGAGTGCCTCGAACCTGGCATCAAACAATTTCCTCCACTGCTGAATGTCAGGGCTCAGTCTGCTGTGCAGAGTAGTCACTGCTGCGGCCATCTTGGCTTTGCCACGCAGCCTTAAAGCTCCGTTAGTGCCCGTCGGATGCTAGGTTTATATTCCCAGTGGGGACCAGGATAACCCCCACCAGTCCAAAGGGGGGGGGGGAACAGGGCTCCTGAGGTGAGGCACTATGTGGCAGGCACCGCCCGAGGAGATCGACAGCCTCTTGTCCCGGCCAGCGCCCGCTCAGATGGGATTGCGGGTGTCGCTCATCACGGGGATACAGTCCAGTTCGGACAGCTTGCTCTTGGCTTGGTAGGTAATCAGCTTGGAGTTTATAAGCCCTGCTAGCAGTGATTTTGGCTTGAAATTGCTTGAGTTTAGCTCAAATTAGCAGGAGCTAGGGAGAAACACGTCTAGCAGGCCATTGTAATGGATTTTATATGTCTATATTTATATTTTTTATAATAAATATCTAAAAAGACAAAACGTTATTGCTTCCAAGACAATCCTTATTTTATAGTGTATTCTCAATTATTTATATATGTTAAAAAGAGGATCTCTTTCTAACTATATAAAATTATGGCTATCTGTATGGTTAGCCCCGCTAAGTTCTATGATTTAAGACATTATAGTGGTAAATAAGGGAACCAGCCATGGTTACAGTAGCCTCCATAAGGCCTTTATACAGAGGTACATTTCATTATGTGTGTCTTCTATAGAGTTGGTAGAATCGATACCCTTTCTTTTAGACATTTAGTAGACATACCATCTAACATTTGTCCTAGCATCTGATAAATGAAATTTCCAATAATATTGGCACTGGATATGTGATGGTATTGCCTTTTAGAGACTTTTCTTTGATTCTAATATTACTAGAATAATACACAATTAATTGTAGTTTTCATTTTGGGATTTAGTTTTTTTTGGAGGGTTACTCCAAAACTCTTGGTTCCTTATTTGGAACATAAATTTGGACTCTAATTTAGGGTCAGGCCCTCTGTAGTTGGAGGATCCCATTTAGGATACCTTATCCTTCCCCCCCCCCCTTTTTTTTCTTTATTAAAATGGGCAGCATCTTTGCACCAAAATGACTAGATTAAGATGTTGTGATTTTGGCACTTTGAGTGTTCCTTTAAAGACCAGTACAGTTTAACAGTCTCTGGATTTATATGAAGTAACTACAGATTTCTTTTAGAATCACTCTAAATACAATTAAATAACTCAACATTTAACTAGCATTTCTTCTTACTTACATAATTCACACAATTAAATTATTGAAATTTCCTCACATGCCGTGTCAGGAAGTTTGAACCCTGCAGTAGCCCTAAATTACAACTGAGCATTTTGCGTTAATTTCTCATTAGGAGATTATAAAGTCATAAGTCTTGGAGCAATTACTTTTTAGATAAACACCAAAAATAGGAAATTGTAACAGTGGGGCTTATGATTGCTAATGATATAAAATGCATATTTTTTAGATTTTACATGTGACACTCACTGAGTTGCTGCAAATTATTGTCCTATTTCTTTATTTAGATACTGATGTTACTCTGTTTCAATTATTAACAAGAGGATGGTGATAGCATAGTCATTAGTGAACATCCACTTCTGGAATTAACAGTGAGTCATTTGCAGTATCTTCTGATAGAAATGAAATAACAGCTTGTGCGTTGCATCATGGCCAATTACTTTTTTAATAATCATTTAAAAAACATACAGAAAGCTTTGCAGACTTCAACTCTGCATTTAGTTATTCAGAGAGAAGTCAAGATGGGCACACCAGGATACGTAATCAAAGCCAAATAACTTGACGTAGTATCTTAAGATGAATTATATCTACTGACACATAGTATGCATGTACTTAAGCATATATTTGTGCCCAGTGCCTGTCTTTCTATCTACCTCTATTTATTTGTCAATCTATTTATGTATTTTGAAACAAGTATGGAACAAAGCTTAGAATTCCTTAAGTGTCAGGGTTTATAAAAGCTATTCTGTAATACAGTTGACAGAAATTAATCTTATTCTCCAAGGGTAACTGGCCATGTCGAGGGATTGCACAAAGGCCGTCCATGTCAGCAATCCCTTTCACCCTCAAGCTGACAGGAAGATGGTCACTACACTGCTGTGCATAAGGAACAATATAGCCCATGGGTTTTTGAACCATAAAAGGGACAGGCTAATTTTCAGGGCTAAGGAGATCTAATATTCTACTCTTTCACTTGCCCATTTCTCCTGAATCTCTTGGTCCTAGACAATGTGTGATTGTAGGTATGTCACTATGTGCCTTGCGTTCCAAGAAGAAAGGGCCAATTGTGAATAAAGGTATGTTAATGGGAATGTTAATTACCAATATAGGGGAAACAACTGTGAAAATCTGCGAGTTGGTGATGGCAATTCGGAAGTGGATCTATATTTCCCTTATAACTTTGTTATGTTTGCATGTCAGTATTACCGATCTTTGTTAATCTTTATAATTATTGTGGCTCTGGTGGCAGCAGTGGGATGGCTTTCTAGTGAGTATAGAAGCATCCTGGAGACACTGGTATTATTGGATTTATAATTGAGGGCAAGTGAGGACAGTGCCCCTGTCCTCAACTGCCCATTTGTTCTGGGACCTGATGACCCACTGACCTTCCTAGCTGCAACGCTGGCTACAGGGCAGTGCGCCACTGGCCTCTTCCCACCAAGTACCCACAACTCCATGCCTGGGAGTTCAAGAGAGACAGGGGGTGATGGACGCCCACTCAGCAGCTTTGGACATACAGGGAGTGCAGAATTATTAGGCAAGTTGTATTTTTGAGGATTAATTTTATTATTGAACAACAACCATGTTCTCAATGAACCCAAAAAACTCATTAATATCAAAGCTGAATATTTTTGGAAGTAGTTTTTAGTTTGTTTTTAGTTTTAGCTATGTTAGGGGGATATCTGTGTGTGCAGGTGACTATTACTGTGCATAATTATTAGGCAACTTAACAAAAAACAAATATATACCCATTTCAATTATTTATTATTACCAGTGAAACCAATATAACATCTCAACATTCACAAATATACATTTCTGACATTCAAAAACAAAACAAAACAAATCAGTGACCAATATAGCCACCTTTCTTTGCAAGGACACTCAAAAGCCTGCCATCCATGGATTCTGTCAGTGTTTTGATCTGTTCACCATCAACATTGCGTGCAGCAGCAACCACAGCCTCCCAGACACTGTTCAGAGAGGTGTACTGTTTTCCCTCCTTGTAAATCTCACATTTGATGATGGACCATAGGTTCTCAATGGGGTTCAGATCAGGTGAACAAGGAGGCCATGTCATTAGATTTTCTTCTTTTATACCCTTTCTTGCCAGCCACGCTGTGGAGTACTTGGACGCGTGTGATGGAGCATTTTCCTGCATGAAAATCATGTTTTTCTTGAAGGATGCAGACTTCTTCCTCTACCACTGCTTGAAGAAGGTGTCTTCCAGGAACTGGCAGTAGGACTGGGAGTTGAGCTTGACTCCATCCTCAACCCGAAAAGGCCCCACAAGCTCATCTTTGATGATACCAGCCCAAACCAGTACTCCACCTCCACCTTGCTGGCGTCTGAGTCGGACTGGAGCTCTCTGCCCTTTACCAATCCAGCCACGGGCCCATCCATCTGGCCCATCAAGACTCACTCTCATTTCATCAGTCCATAAAACCTTAGAAAAATCAGTCTTGAGATATTTCTTGGCCCAGTCTTGACGTTTCAGCTTGTGTGTCTTGTTCAGTGGTGGTCGTCTTTCAGCCTTTCTTACCTTGGCCATGTCTCTGAGTATTGCACACCTTGTGCTTTTGGGCACTCCAGTGATGTTGCAGCTCTGAAATATGGCCAAACTGGTGGCAAGTGGCATCGTGGCAGCTGCACGCTTGACTTTTCTCAGTTCATGGGCAGTTATTTTGCGCCTTGGTTTTTCCACACGCTTCTTGCGACCCTGTTGACTATTTTGAATGAAACGCTTGATTGTTCGATGATCACGCTTCAGAAGCTTTGCAATTTTAAGAGTGCTGCATCCCTCTGCAAGATATCTCACTATTTTTGACTTTTCTGAGCCTGTCAAGTCCTTCTTTTGACCCATTTTGCCAAAGGAAAGGAAGTTGCCTAATAATTATGCACACCTGATATAGGGTGTTGATGTCATTAGACCACACCCCTTCTCATTACAGAGATGCACATCACCTAACATGCTTAATTAGTAGTAGGCTTTCGAGCCTATACAGCTTGGAGAGGGACAACATGCATAAAGAGGATGATGTGGTCAAAATACTAATTTGCCTAATAATTCTGCACTCCCTGTATAGGACATAGCTGGGCACTGGAGGTCACCAGGTCAGCTACTTGTTTAGTGGGCTGCCCAACAGCAGGTCAGGTACTTGGTTAGTCTTCCCTTGGGGGGGGGGGGGAGATTTGTGGCGAACAGACCTCGCCATGGGCTTCTTGAGGAGCCTGTTTGCTAGCCTCCTGCCTCAGGACTATGGGCCCTGCAATATACCTTGCCCAATGCACGTTAAAAGGCTCCATTCATGGGATTTATGTACTCCATAAAGAGAGACCGACTCTTATCCCTGATTCCCTGAAACTGTTTTGGGCATAGGACCATGTGCGCGGTCGGTCAAAATTATGACTTACATGGAAATCCCGAACCCCTGAACCGATCTGGGTGATTTTTGGATATGTTGGGTCCCCCAGATCAGGGCTCTCATTGGATGTTGTTAAAATGTATGCTGTCTGTTCCTAGAGATAATTGAGTTTAGTACAGTTCCTGATTCAATTATCTCTCAGGCACAGGGGATATATTACCCTGTTTTGTGTGGTAGTATCCTGGACCTGAGAGCCAATGTAATTATGTGTCAGGTATACTCTAACATTCATG